CATCAAAAGCCCCGAAATCAGTGCAAAGGTCAACATTTACAACATACATTTGGGCCAACATCGGTGAAACGTGAGCAGTGAGACAATTCAGAACTGTTTTTTTCACTGTGGCTTTAAGCACTTGGTTTTGGAGAAGGATGTAGGCATGCTCATTGAAAGTGAAAATGATGATTTACATATGGAACTTCAACAGGCACATCCATTGACAACGAGCTTCAATGCTACGGTGAAAATGAAGATTACGACACTGCAATCATTCTCAAGTTGCAGCAAAACACACGACAGCATCGGAAGACCAAGAAAGGGATGATGATGATGATGCCGCTAATAAGTTGGTGCAAGTGATAACACAGGATGCAAGGAAATGCACTGCTGCATTAGATGTTTGTGGAGATTTCGTTCACATGCAATCCATCAAGAGAACGGGTCAGATCACATTGAATAAGTTCTTCAAATGGTGACTGGAACTTGGTACGAAATTTTTTTTATGTGCTTCGCATGTTGAGTATCATGGAGATTGTTTCATAGAATTTGTTTCTAAATTAATTTTGCCAATGAAAAAATTTTCGACTGTATTTCTTTTTTGTACATGTATGTTTGTCATACTTGTGTACCGCACCATAAAGTTCATAATTACATTTTACAGGGTTTGAATGGTCCTTAACATTGATCAATTTCATTAAAATAATGGTAATATATTAGAATTATATTTGAAAAATAACATTAAAGTAAAACATTTTTTTGCTGTCATATTATAAAGTTTCATTTTGGCAACTTATTATACAATATTTTGAATCTGAAAAATAAACAAGGTATAATGCTATAAAGCATAATAAAAAAATTTAACGAGTCCAGCAAGTTCTTAAATTTTTTAAAATCAATTTTAGGTCCTTAAAAGTCCTTAATTTTGGCTAAAATCAGTATAAGGTCCTTAATTTTAATCATATGAAATTTCTCTCTGTTTTAACGACTGCCATTTTGAGTGTGAATTAGCATTTTCTGGAATATTTTTGGCGATTCACTGAATTTTGAATGGGTTCATGGGTTAAATTTGTTTCTATTTCTAATATAATATGATGGGATACTCAGTTCTAAGAAAGGAAACATAAGCATTGAAATTCATTTTTCTAATAAAGAGCTCTTAAAACAACTTTCGCTTTTGGGGATGTGAATTCTTTTATAAAGAGTTCTAAATTTGGCGACTTGTCAAATTTTGGCGATTTTAAGATCAGTTTCTATAGAAATTTTAATTCTGAGATCTGAGAATTTTTTGCCTTTTTTAACATTAACTTTGATAAATTTCATTAAAATAATGGTACTAATATATTAGATTTGAAATAAAAAATTTTTTTTTCTCTGTCATCTTATAAAGTTTCCTTCTTATTAATCTGAAAAATAACATTATAATACTATAAACATTTATGAAACAGCTCTTAGTAAAAGCAAAATTAGTTATGTAATTAATTAAAAAGTCTTCTTTTTAATTTTTTCCTAGTAAGTGTTTTTCCCATGTAATTGTCTCAGATTTTTAAAATTCTCAGAATATGCATCAGTTTTCTCTATAAAATTAAATTTTCACTTTTTCCTTCCTTTTTCTTCCGAAAATCTTTCTGGTTTTTTGCTGTTACAGAATTGGTTGGGATAATTTTTCTTTAGTATTTTTGGCATCGCAGCAAGGAAAGTTTAAAATTTGAAGGCAAGATTAATAGACCCATGATTCTAGAAGATTCGAGAAATATGGGACAATAAGCGATGAATTTCTTACTTTTTGAAGAACGTCTGGAAGAACAATGGAAACATAATATTTGAATGTTTTACTCCTGATACTAAATTTGTTTTCTTAATATGTTTATCTTCCTTGTATTTTTTCTATTTTTTTCACTAGATACAAGCATGGAGAATACCAAAAATGCTTCTAAACTTATCACTTGGGCAGGCATTATAGAAAGAGACTTTTTTATTAATAAAGAAATTGAAAACTTACAATTTAAAAGATTTATCTAATATGCCTAAATGCATCGTACACAGAGCTGGTGCTAGGCATTTTCCCACTTGATGCAATCTCTGTGGATTCTAAATTCTGCTGCCTAGTGTCTTTCTAAATTCTGCTTCCAATCCCTGCTGTAAACTAAAGATTGCCATTTCTAGATTTTGTTGTTCTGTGTGTCACTAAATTCTAAAAATTCTGCCACACCAGCTCTGTAACCGGCTTTTACCATATATATTTCACATTTCTTCTGAATGTTCATATTACCAAAGAAATAAAATTAGCCACATTTTCTATACATTATAAATGCATTTAGTGTTTTTTTAAATAACAGAAATCCTTAATTAAATCCAAAAATTCTAAAATTTAAAGGAAACATGTTGAAGAAAGAAACTGAATACATAAAGAAAATTATTCTTTAAAGATATGTGCAGTTATTATGTAAATTACCCAATTGTTTATGGTTTCAGCCTTTACTATAACTTCCCATTTCTGTTTCCTCATATGACAGAGTTACTGAGCCAGATTAAATTAAAATTAAATTGTGTAAACTTTGACCACTAGTCCACATTTTGAGTTTGCATTTGACTGCTCTTGTTTAATTACGTCACCGTGAGCTGTAATTGACTTTGTTATCATCAGAGCATGTCTTTATGTTCTAAGATCTTTTAAATAAATAAGAGGCTTATTTAAACCTTTTGTCTGATATTGTAGTTACTTTCAGACACAGTTATAATTTGCTTCACGTCTATCAAGGGTTTGGGACTATTTAACTTTTACCAGATCAAGTAAACCCTCATAGGTACATTGTGAAGAGGTTGACAAGTTAGGAGATAAAGCACACAGAAACTAGCGAGAACATTGGTTTGCATGTTAAGACAAATTTCTAATTATTGTTAGAAAAGATGCTTGAAGGAAATCGATATAAACTAGCAAAATGTTTGCAAAGGCTTGTAGAGACATTAGTATTTTTGAAAGCAGGAAAGATAAAAAATGAACAATGCCTTCTCTGGGAATCGAACCGCGGACCTCTAGAATACCGACCCAGCGTGCAAACCACTACACCATGAAGGCTCGCCAAGGAGGTGGAAGAAATACATTATATACTCCCCCTTTTAAAGAGCGACTGGGGTTTTTAGGGTACCCAATCGCCAAATCCTCGGTGTGGAGAACCATCATCCAACACCCTTTTAGTTTGGGCGTCATTGTAGAGATATTAGGTATTTTTGAAAGCAATATAGATGAAAAATTAACAATGCCTTCCCCGGGAATCGAACTGCGGATCTCTGGAATACAGGCTCAATGTGCAAACCACTACATCACGAAGGCTCGCCAAGAAGGTAGGAGAAATACTTTATAGGCTTCAAATTAAAATGACGGATAAATATTTTGTTGAATGTTGTTGTTACAAGTGTGTAATTATCTTACTATCGTTTAAGAATCAATATAATAAATTACATGTATTTTGAACTGTGAAATTTTATTAGATTTTGGTTTTAATAGGGCTTTTTTAAACAAATATTGTTAAAAAATAAAATTTAATAGTGGCCTAAATCCATAATGACTAAGGTTATCTAATTACCTAATTTAATTATTTATAACTAATTATTTCCTTAAAATTTTCTCTACATATTAAAGCGAGTTATGCTTTCATTAATACTCACTGTGGTCACAAGATAAAAACACAAAAATATAAAAATTCAAGTAAAAACTATTCTTCATCTACTGAGAATAATATACAAAACAAACTTACACTCTGGTGCTTTAAGGCTTTATTGAATCTTAAATATATTAACTGGTTACAATCCCCTAGAACTCTACACAAAGCTATGGCATTAACTGCTTTAAGCAGAGCCTGACTAACTTTCAACACTTGCCAACTTGCCTACATCAGGCCTTTCAGGTTTGTTCTAATCAGCAGGTCTCTCTCCAGACAAGCAGCAGTGGGACAACATTCAGTCTTTTGTTATGAATCATGCTGATTATGATCTTACTTCTCATTTTAACATATGCCGTTTAACATAAAATCTCCCTGCTGTTTGCTAAACGTCTGGACTGACCAAGTGTGTGACAAAATGAGACACAACAAAAAAAAAAAAAAAAAAAAAAAGTAACTCTTAGTAAAACGTAAATGTTACTTATCTTCTTTCAAATATGTCCAACTATTATAAGTGTTAAAATACTTAATGCTACTTGATAAACTGCATGAAGTTTATTTTATTCTCAAACTTATTAATAATTATGTTAATTAATTCATGTTTAGTAATAATGCATACAACTTAGGGATCTATTTTATTTTTAGGATGGTATTACAAAAGGAAATTCAGGCATAGATAATTTTTTAATTGAATGTACTCAGTTCCCACTTGCTCATAGGTCCTTAATTTTTTCCATTAATGGTTCTTAAAAGTCCTTAAAAGTACTTAATTTCCATGTGCAGAAATGTGTACGAACCCTCATTTTAGTACATGATTTACATGTACATTTACTGTTTGCTACATATAGCATGACCCATCTTACAACATAGGACATGTTTGTGTAATCGGACCAGCCAGTTATTAGGACCAAAACGATTGCTTCCAGATGTGGTCTGATTAACCAACATCGACTGTACTTATTTTTGTAGATATAGAAATAGCTGTTGAAGTCATGTTATGTTATTACTTGGATTAAAAAAGATTATTTTATATAACACCAGAAATTTCATCAGTGCTCATGTTTCATGTTTCCAGAGCAGACCGTTAAGAATATTATTTCTTTAGCTATTATTATGTTCAGAGTAGCTTTTGGAAAAAAAAGAATGCTTTGGTTTAAATTTTTTGAGATGTTTGTTTTAATTGCATTATGTGTTGTACTGTTTGTTATTTGAAGCAGCATGTTTTCTAATTTTTTTAAAATTTTATCAAGATTAAAGTTTGTTCTGAATTAAGTAAATAGTGAATATTTTTTAGATGGTCTTTGTTTTCTTTTAATCATTAGCAACTGTTTTGTATTTAATATTATAAAGCATCTGTGCAAGTTTACTGAAATGAATTTTATTTTTCAGGCTCGACTAGAGTATTTGAGAGATCAATTTCAGATCAGGGAAAGTGATTTCTTAACATTTGATGCTTTGAGACATGCATCTCAGTGTGTAGGGCGAGCCATTAGAGGAAAAACTGATTATGGCATCATGATTTTTGCAGACAAGGTACTATCTGTAGTTTTAGATGCATTGTATTTTTTATATAAAATATCAAATGTCTGAATTTTACATGAAATACAAAGTACAGTCAAAAGTCGTTAATCCGGACTCGTCGGGACTTCGGCGATTCTGGATTATCGATTTTTCCGTATTATAGATCATCAGTTTAAATTTGGTAAGATGGCATGCAGAAATTACAAAATTAAAAATATGAAACCATAATTTATGAAATAAAGAACAATTATGATCTAAAGGGTATCAAAATTTACAAAAAGAAAAAAGCTTAATATTTATTTGTTTACTTTATTAAACATTTCCTTCAATGTAAGTTGCTTCGTTTCATGTGATAATACTTTCTCTTTAATTCTATTAAACAGACATAATTTCTTGTTTAGTTACAAAGTTCCGCTGTTCAAGTCCTATAATTGCTGTGTTGAGAATACCGACTAATTTGTCAATCGAAATGTTTTCGTTTTCAATAACCTCTGGGTCACTTTCTTCACTATCGGAAGCGAATTATAATGACGAGGAACTTGATTTAAATCATATCAAAGACGGAGTACATCGAGATGAAATACTACACTTAGTACGGAATTATAAACCAAATAAAATAAAAACATCTGCTCTGAAGATAAGGATAGTGCTGACAGATCAACTTCCAATCCCCAGCGTGAAATTGATAAACAGATTTCGGATTTCAAAACATACTTTCGCTTTGTAGATACAAATTACATATTAGTAAATATATATCGGAAATTCTATTTGACATAATCTTTCTAATCTATCATAATCTAATAATGACGTTTCTGCCCCCCCCCTGCCGCAGAGCAGTGTGAAATTGATAAACAGATTTCGGATTTCAAAACATACTTTCGCTTTGTAGTAAATATATATCGGAAATTCTATTTGACATAATCGAAAGTTCAAGCTTACTTTTATAAAATTGCTCTAACAGTCTGCAAAAAATAATAAGCCGGATACGATTCGAAGATTAAGGAACAACGCAATCTGCAACATTAACTGAATTAGATAACTTTAGCTTAGCGTATAACTCCGTTACACATTAAACGCGCATGCGCACAAACATATTCGCAGTGTAAGGGTCTTATGCGCTCCTGTAAACGCCTGTGCGCATGCGTGAACGCGACGCATGCGCAGAAAGTTTGTAGCTTTGAGGTCCGGATTATGGGTGTCCGAATTAACGACTTTTGACTGTATTATGTAAACAAAATAAGATTTGATGTATTATATTTTTTATTAAAAACCTTTAGAATAAAAAAATTTTTAATTTTGGTAATTAAAAGTGAAAAAATCAAAAAGTAGTGTGACTTAAAGAAAAATTAAGAACTTTGTAATAGTGTGAAAATTTGTTAATTTGTTCTAATAGAAGCCAGCAGAAAATTATATAAATATTGTTTTTCTTTTAAATAAAACTGTTATCTTGCTGTCATCTAGGAAAACAAAATTTCATTGTGTATAAAACAAAAAAAAAAAAAAAAGAACGAGGATATTGCATTCTGTATGTCACTTAAAGAATTTTATTATTATATTTCTATAGCTTATAACTAAATTAATAACTAGTATATTAATTAAATTAAGACTTATTAACATTTATTATATCTTCGCAAGAAGTAACTAGTCCAAACAATAATTAACATATTTTAATTTATTTGTGATAAAAATTAATATAAATGCAGCATGCTGTAGTGACAATGATATTTTAATATCAAAATAATTAGGTTGGATGAGCTTGGTAGAAAGTCAGTAGCTTATCAGTGTTAAGATTTATTAACAAAAGTTGAAAAATAAAAACAATATTATAGGTATTTTTGTTGCTTTATCAAAAATTTGGGTACTTTCTGATTAATGGAACAGGACACCATTTGATGTGAAATCTAACTGGAGATAGGTATAACAATCTTAAAAATAATCATTTTTTTTAAACGAAAAAAGTATTTTATGATAAAAACATAGAAATTCATACTAATGATGTGTATAGTTATTCCTGTTACTAGTTGTGTAGTGTTTCATTCGTTGTTGTTGTGACTTGTCTGACAGTAACATCAGAACAAGCCCATGAAATTTATCATGGCAAGGAATGCAAGATCGCACCTGTTGTTGGAAAGAGCCTGAGCACCATACAGGTGACAGTATGACTTTGCTCAACTCCAACTCCAATTTTGATGGAAAGCACCCTGTGGGGGGGGATGGATGCAAGGGTCTCCCACACATCCTTCCCTGCCACCAAACTCTCGAGAGGACTTTCGGCTCACCACATATTTAAAGGGCCCCTATGCTGCACAGACAATACATTTACAAACATCCAGGCCTTCGGGTACAGCGGTCAGTGTTGCTAACCACTGTCCTGGTTGGGCAGAATTTTATTCTTAGTTGTGATTGTCAGAATTCCACCAATGTGAGCTTAGCATCTGAAGGAATGTGGAAAAAATATGTTAGCCTTTAAACCAGATTTTTTTCTTTGTAAATCTTTCATTTTACTTCACTGTCTTTTGTTGCAGCATTATTTTGGTGCCTTTTTTAGTAATAAAATACTATTTTATTTTATAGTTTTTTGAATGAAGTCTTTCAGTATGGATGATAATTTTGTCTTGAACGAATTTAATGGTGACTTTTCATCATTTGCAACTGCCAATGTTTCTTTTTCTTTTTTAGTTCTTTAACAAACAAACAAGCAAGCAACAGCAACACCCCCAATAGTGATGGATGATACTTTTGTCTTGAAGGAATTTAATTGTGCTTGTTCATCATTTGCAACTGCCAATTTTTCTTTCATTCTTTTTTAGTTCTTTAATGAAAAACAAACAAATAAGCAACAACAGTGCCCCCAAAAAGGAAGAAAAACTCAAAATGGTAGAGGGGAAAATTTGACTGGGTTGATATAGATTCTTCTTCCATATTTGAATGATTTCTTTGCAATTCTACTAATGAGATGAAATAAACGGGTTACCATGTTCTGTGCTTTAACACACAATTTTCCACTGGTGTCCTGTTAATTAGAAAGCCCAAAATTGGTCATAAATTCCAGTATCACATATGATGAAACTCTGAAACTTTGGTCCTTTAAGTGTGATCTTGGGATGTTTAAATATAATGATGATGATGATAATGATCTTTAAATTGAAGATTAAGTATGATATTGATGTTAATCTTCAAGTATCCATTAAGTGTATTTTTCATGTTGATCCTTAATCTGAATATTTGGGAAAAGGAATGCAAGACACGTTGCTCTTTTGCATGTTATACATGTATTAGATGAACTGTGTAAAATTTTATACTATGTTTATAAAGTTACTGCTAGTGCTATTGCTGCTTTGATGCCCAACATGTCTTTGTATTATACAAATGCCCCAAAACAATTGCAATGTGTATCCCATAAATCCAGATGTATTCTATTTCAATTCAACTGAAGTACAGTATGCTCATATAACATAAGTTGAAATTTTTCACCCATTTGAAAAAAAAAAAAAAAAAGTCTTCCAATTTATATTGTATTCAGTTCTTAAACTGCAAGAAATGTTCTTTTTTTTTAGTCCAAAGGGGTTTTGTTCCTGAAGGACTATTTTTTTTGTTTTGCGATTTTGCATTGAATCACTATAAATGTCATTTCACTTTTCAAACTGTTGCCACCAAATGTTAGAGTCCTGCATTATATTTGAAGAAATTAAATAATGAAAAATCTGCATAAATGTATGTATATTTCTCACATTGTGATAAAACAACAGTACATAGAGCCATCGAATTTTTAATAACGTAATCCTCCTACGAATATGGGCGTGTGGAAGACCAAATTTGAAATTTGTTTTATTATCGATTTCATATTTTGTAAAACTTTAATGAATTTTTGATTAACAAACTCAAGGATTTCAAAAAGAGCAATGGCAACACTCTACTACGGGGGGGGGGACCTTTTTATTTCCAGCGCATGGAACTGTGTATCGGAAATTCTAAAGATATGCTCATTTTACAATTATTTTGCGGCATTGCTATTGAATTGAATTTTATGGTTTAAGTGCAAAGAACGTGATATTTAATAAATAAAGGTAGCACGCAAAACGTTAAAAAAAAAATAATAATACACCTTTAGACATAATTTAAAATCTGAAACCTCTTTTTTTTTTTTTTTTTTTTTTTTTTTTTTTTTTTTTTTTTTTTTGTCTTGACTGATAATTTTATCCTTGGACTTAAATTTATGTTGTAACATTTTGTGTACTCAATCAGTAGAAAAATAGTTTCGGATAAAAAGGGGGGGGGAGAGAAAAACGGCCGTGTTGCTTATGTTGCCAGTAATATTATTGCTTTGTTTACATAATTCTAAATTCATTGATTAGAAGCTGACATATAATTCTACATTTTAAAAAATCTTTTGCCTTTAATATTATGCTGTGGATTCTGGACTTCACTTTGGGTTTGGATATATGTTGTTCCTTTCCATCATTCTTTTCCCAGAGAGTATATTTTGCATAATGCATAACTAGGAAAAGTGCCGATTTTTAATATGGATATATTGTTATGCTCATTATAATGTCACATACAATTCTTAAATCACCATATTCCAATTTATTCAATGTCTACATATATAAGTTGAATCTATAATGCTGGATTTTGATATAATTGTAATGAAATGTGTGCATTAGTTTTTGAAAAGAGTGATGTAACCTCTATTATTATTTTCAATATTGAAATTAAATGTTTCCAGTATGCATTTATATTTTATAAGCTTGTACTACTTATAATCAGGAATATAAAATTTATATTATTATAGAAGGTAAAAATGATCAAGGTTTAAGATTGAAATGTAAATCATGAAAAAAAAATATGTTTCTAATATGCATTGAAAGAATAGTTTTATTACATGTTAATGCATAAATTAATATATAGATATTAATTTATATGCTAAACATGTAATAATGCTAAAAAACAAAAATGTTCATAAAGATTTAGGGAATCATATTAATTATTTTAAGACCCAGTACTTAAAAGGAAAATTTAAATTAGCATTTTCATCAGGGCACTTTCTTTAATTGTATAGAATTGTTGTGTGGAAATAATTTATTAAAAAGTGGAAAGAAAACATTTTCATTATCTGCAATATTATCATAGTAAGATCATATAATACTGCTATGCTGATATCATAAGGGTCTAAAAATTATTTTGAATAGACTAATTAAATGATACTGAAGTTCTTAAATATGCAGGGTGTTCAGTAAGGAAGTGATAAAAAGAAATAACACATGTATCTGAAATCATTGTGTTTATTGTTGTGGTTTATTTAGCTGGAAAGAATTATTAAGAAGTTTAACTACACCTCTGCTTAAGTGCCATTTGTAGCTTGAGCTATGTCCAGACTATGTTGTATCTCATTTTACATGTTTGAAAATATTACTGGTGTGTGACCACCTCTGTAATTGGGGCATGAAAATCTGCAACATTGGCCTCAGATGTTCAAAAGACACTTTGCTAGGATCGTGTCATAACCGGGGGGGGGGGGTAATGTAAAGGGTCAAGTCTATATGTCAGGGCAAACAACCAATTTTAGGCTCTTCTGTCTGGTTATGTAAAGTGCAATCAACACTTTGGGTTTGGATATATGTTGTTCCTTTCCATCATTCTTTTCCCAGAGAGTATATTTTGCATAATGCATAACTAGGAAAAGTGCCGATTTTTAATAATGTCTGTACTTTGTGTTTGGGCAGGGGTGCCTCAAAACTACATGTACACTTTACAGGGGGGGGAAATGGTGAGTTCTAGATCTTCTGTTCTACTGGGCTGATTGACAAAATTTATCTTTCATTTTTCATGCCTCTAAAGCGTAAATTAGGATATATGTTAGATTTATATATAACATTGTTTTAACATAGGTATTCTGACACAAAATTGGACGTTTTCTAAATGACATGCTGATTTTTTCCCCTATTTCTATTCTACAACTTAAAAACTTGCCATAGTGCCAATTTTTCGCACAAGTAGTTTTTAAAAATTAACTCTTAAAATTTTAGCTTTTCAATATCAGTTGAATTTGGTATATATTTATTAATATCACCTTTTTTTTATTACACTTACTTGATTTCTTCTTTACATTTCGAAATTTAGGTTCAGTCCAAGTAAAATTCACAGCTTCTTTCTGATTTGTTTTTTAAATTTGTATTTTCTAGCAATTTTTATAAATTTTTCAGAAATTTTTTTAATTATAACCTATAAAAGTTTTGCCATCATCTTAAAGAAGACATATTTCTAGACTACTTGTAAAAAATTAAGTTTTTTATTCAAAATTTCCAGAGAATTAATATACTGGCACGTTTATAAGACATAATAATGCCAAATGTGATTTCCACACTTTGTTAAAATTATTTGAAAGTATGAACAATGCATCTTTATCTCCGGTCATGCACAATGAAAAAAGGGAAAGGCAAATAGGTTGCTATAAGTTAGGAATTTCGTCAAGTGAATTTTTCTTGGCACAAACTGAAAAAAGTGTGTCACGGTAAATTTTTAATGTTTTCCATAAGTTTCTCACCAAATTTTACAAAATTTAAAATTTAGGCATAATTTGAGTTGTAGAATTGGAAGTATGGAAAAAAAAAAATTTGTATGTCATTTCAAGAAAAGTCCGATTTGATGTAAAACACTTATGTTAAACTGATGCTATATATAAATATAATACACATGCTAAGTTTTATTTTTGAGACATGAAAAATGCAAGTTAAATTTCATCAGTTGGCCCAGTAGAACAGAAGATATAAAACAGTTCCCTTCTTTTTTTGTGCAAGCTGTTCAGACTTTGAAGGGAGATTAAGAACATTCATATGAAAAATATTCGCATAAGAAAGCATGATCAGACATGCAACCTACAGCAGATAGAAGAGACACACAGACACAGCAAGAGCATAGTATACAGACACAGCAAGAGCATAGTACACAGACACAGCAAGAGCACAGTACATTGCTTTGTTTATTTATTTTTAAATTCATCAATTAGATGCAAACATGTGAAAACAAAAATGTTTGAATTTACATGTGTAAAGTACTTTTTTAAGTGAAAGTTAACAGTAAAACAACAACACACTGCTTTTACAAGGGGTGTCAAAGTTCTGATCATTTGTGGCGTGCCACTGACACTGTATCGATTGTTGAACATTTTCAAAAATATCCACATTTTCATAGATATTAGCAATGGGAACAATTCTTGCCATGATGTCTGTGTAAAAAGCCATGGAATTTTCTTGCAGAATGGCTTTGACGGTCATGAAAATAAATTGTACATAATTCAAATGAATGTGAAGGTCATGTGATGGGTCCACTAAAAACCACTCTGCAGTAAAATTTGCAGCTATCTTCTGAAACTTTTTTAAAATTTGTAGTTTCTAGTAATTTTTATAAATTTTTAATTATAACCTATAAGTTTACCATATCTTAGAAGATTCAACATCCTGTAATTAATTTTATCAATTCCATTTAATATGGCCAGAATATTTATCGGGTGGCCATATTAAACTGACAGTGCTCACAGTGTTCTGTAGCGATCTATTTGCGAGAATGACGCCACATTTTGTAGGAAGATTAAACAAGACGGGGGACGAAGGATTCCGCGAAAAAACAAATTAGTTCCAAAAGTCACCGCTAGGGGAATATTTGGCGCTGTGTAATAGAAAATAGAGTGTTAACAAATGCAAATCAATACGGAAATTACCTTTTATTTTGCATTCAAATGAGGTTCAATGTGGCTGCCGTTGTTGTGGACCACATATTGCATTCTGTGCACAGTATGCACAACAGCAGAAAGTAACATGTCTGCAGGAATCTCCCGTACAGTCCGTGATATGTTATCCTTCAACGTAGCCAGGTCCTGGACCACTCCTTGATAGACCTTGGACTTAAGGTAACCCCATAGCCAGAAGTCGCATGGGGTAAGATCAGGCGACCGAGGTGGCCATGCAGTTGGAAAGTAGCGGCTAATGACTCTTTCTGTTGTGAATTTCTGTCGTAGCATCTGTTGCCCCCGTACAGCAACGTGTGGAGGGGCTCCATCTTGCATGAAAATGATTTCCCCCAGGCATTGTCTTTGCTGAAGTGCCGGAATGACAAAGCTGTTCAACATGTGGCGATATTTCTCTCCGGTAACAGAACAGGTTTCCGGTCCTGTCGGGGTAATGTTCTCATAGAAGAATGGACCTACGATAAATTCCGCTGTGAACCCACACCAAACAGTTACCTTTGGTGAATGTAAGGGAATTGCTGTGACTGCATGTGGTGATTTGTCATCCCAAATTCGGCAGTTCTGGGTATTCACAGTTCCATTCAGGTAAAAGTGGGCCTCGTCTCCCCATAAGATTTTCCACGGCCAAGCATCATCCACCTCCATTCTGGCAAGAAAGGTGAGAGCAAAAGTCAATCGCTTATCATGGTCGGGGTACAGTAACTCCTGTACACGGCTGATCTTGTACGGATAGAAGTTGATAATCTTTCGTAAGATTTTCCATACCGTACTGTAAGGCATATCCATATTCCGAGCTACTCCACGAGCGCTAGAGGTGGCAGCAATATTGTCTGGTCCTCTGTCGACAATCGCCGTGGCAACTGCTTCGATTGTATCCTGTGGTACAGGTTTTCGTCCTCTGCCTGACTGAACCTTCAGAGAACCTGTTTTCTCAAACGTCGCAACCATTGCTTTTAGCCCATTAACTGACACAGGACCGTTACCTTTACGCATTTTTTTGTGCGTTCTAAAAGCACGAAGAGCGGCTGACGCGTTGCACTGGTTGAGGTAAAAGAATTTGACCAGTAACGCACGCTCGACTAAAGAAGGAGACATTGCACATAAACTTTCAATCCGATTGATTCGAAACGTAACACATTGCCTTTTAAAACCCAAGCAGCTGGCACTGTGCAAATGGATGTAACGTGGAATTTGAATAAAGAACTTCTGCTCAGCGTATGTGATATTACAGATCACGAGACTTTATTGGTGTTTATGTAGATTTTGCGCTTTTTAAAAAATTTTGCCATATTGCACTTGAACTAAATCAGAAAATGTGCATAATAAAAGGTAATTTTATTCCGTATTAATTTGCATTTGTTAACACTCTATTTTCTATTACACAGCGCCAAATATTCCCCTAGCGGTGACTTTTGGAACTAATTTGTTTTTTAACGGAATCCTTCGTCCCCCGTCTTGTTTAATCTTCCTACAAAATGTGGCGTCATTCTCGCAAATAGATCGTGCTACAGAACACTGTGAGCACTGTCAGTTTAATTATGGCCACCCGGTATATATTATATACTTCTCCATTTTCTATCATGCTTTCCTAGGTAGATATGCATCATATAAGTTTTCTCTGCCTGAGCTTAGGATTATCTTCCATAACAAAGTAAATTTTAAAATGCATTTGGGATCTGAAATCCCTATGGAAATGGTTTCTCATTTTGCCAAGTGTTTTGATGACAAAGAAAATCAACAGCTTTTCAGTAGTTTCCATGGAGTGATTGTGGCCACAAGGATGACCGAAAAGCATAACAAACTTTTTGCCTTTAATGTTTTCCAACTTTTCATATTTATACATTATCTTTCCATCTGCAATTTTCCATTTGGCATAAAAGTATTTAATTTTTTAAATAAAAGCCAAAAGTTTACAGTTAGTTTTTGAAAAATCATGCATAATTTTCATACTTGTGAATATTAATGAATTGCATAAAAATTGTTATACTGAAATTAATTTTGTGTAAAATGTGAAATGCATTCTGAAAGTATTGAAATAGATTCATAAATATATTTTTTTGTAACTTTTAGAGGTTTTCTCGTGTGGATAAATATGGGAAATTACCTAAATGGATTCAAGAATACTTAACAGAATCTTTCCATAATTTATCTATTGAAGAAGCTGTCCAAATTGCAAAACGATTCTTAAAGCAAATGGCACAACCTTTTACTAGGGTTTGTTTCTTTAGATTTTCAATTTTTTTAATCTTTAGATTTTCAATATTTTTTTTAAATTCTTCGTGATTTCACTAAGTTTGAACTTTTGATGCATGCAATGTCCAGTGCTTTGAAACTTTCATTATATGCAAGGTTTGTCTAAATTGGGCAATATTCAGCAAAGCATCACCAAACAACATATCATATGTGTAAATCTGCAGTTTTACCCCCTAGCAAAATTTGTGTGCATTCTCACTGATTTTTTTGCGTTCTGAAAAGCATAATGTTGTTAATAATTTTGTATATAGATAAATAATTTTAGTGAAATTGTTGTATTTCTTTTGTGTAATGTAATATGAAAATCTGAATCAACTCTCACTTGAATGCAGGATATGGTGGAGAATGTCAATGATTTAATAATCGTGGGACATTGGATGACACGTAGAATACTTGTAATACTTGTAGATGAACTTAACATTATAGTTCAGGTACTTTCAAAAGGAGATTTGGAGTAAGAGAAAACTTTGGACATGGTTTGTGCTGCATTTTCCGACAGCTAGTTTTTGAAGATGTGATTGAGGATGTAGATATTGACCTGTCTTTTTTGACTGTAATAATAAAGTGCGACAGAAGTGTTTTTAAAATGATTTGGAATAAAAAAAAGAAGCTGTTCAGAATGGTAATCACCACTATCTCCATGACAGCACAAATTCTATTACTAAAGTCTAATTGTTAAAATGATATTAATTGTCTTATTTGATCGGCAGAGATTAAATACATCATGATTTCGTTTCTCTATATCAGGCTATTAATAAAAAATTTTATGCAATAGTTTTGGGCAGACTTGTGAAAAATTATCTTGTTAGAGCTCAATTTTGGATTGGTTTGATTGTCTGAATATTGCAGAACAACAAACAACATAGGCTATCAGCCTAAGAGGAGAAATGCCTTTATGAAAGAAACTGGCTTATATTCATTTACAGATGGGGAAGACAAATCATGACAGCTGTTTTGGCTGGTTCGAACACAAACCAGATTGAACAACCAGTATTCAACAGTCTTAATATTTCAGCCATGGATAAGGCCCACATTTTTGGAAGAAATGTGCTTGGTTTCTCTTGCATTATAATGGAGCCACTCGCTGCTGCACATGAGAAACAACTTGCATCATCACTCACTGCTCTTTTTGAGAAGTGGTTCTTGACCAAAAAGTAAATGTGAATAATCTTGCAGATGTGAATAATCCTCCCTTACCTTCTGATTTTGGAGTTTGAAACTATTTTCTGTTTCTGAAATTGAAATCCATTGTAAGAAAATGCTTGTATTCTAATGTATAAAATAATTTTTAAAAAAATGTAGAATTTACTTTGACATATATGTTCAAATGGCTATGAAATTCATTTAAAAAACTTGTGTAGTCACACACTAGAGCAGGGGTTCTCAACCGAGATGAGGGACGAGATAGTCAGTCTGACTTCAACTGCTTCCTGCTGTCAGGTTAAAAAATAATCTAAATCTAAATAAATGTTTATGTAATTTTGAAGTTTTTGAAAGGAAGGGGGTAATGATCTAGCAGTGGTGAAAGGGATGCATGAGGCAAAACAAATTGAGAACCAATGCACTAAGAGTGTATAACTGCTAAAAGTTATTATTTTAAAAAATATTAGTTTTGATTTCATTATTTATTTCTTAGAATTAATATCAGTCCTGGAACATTTTAGACAAACCTTGTATTTTTCCGTATCTTAAAATAGTGTAATGGCTATGAAATTCATTTAAAAAACTTGTGTAGTCACACACTAGAGCAGGGGTTCTCAACCGAGATGAGGGACGAGATAGTCAGTCTGACTTCAACTGCTTCCTGCTGTCAGGTTAAAAAATAATCTAAATCTAAATAAATGTTTATGTAATTTTGAAGTTTTTGAAAGGAAGGGGGTAATGATCTAGCAGTGGTGAAAGGGATGCATGAGGCAAAACAAATTGAGAACCACTGCACTAAGAGTGTATAACTGCTAAAAGTTATTATTTTAAAAAATATTAGTTTTGATTTCATTATTTATTTCTTAGAATTAATATCAGTCCTGGAACATTTTAGACAAACCTTGTATTTTTCTGTATCTTAAAATAGTGTAATGAAAATTTAATGCATACACTAGTTTGCAAAGGCATTCCAGATTGTTCTAGTACAATGATCGCCAAACAGTCGAACACAAGCTACTAGCAGCTCATGGGGACATTTTCGATAGGTCGCGTTAACGCCTCAGTTGTCTAACCTTGATTCCTCCATTGAGTTGATGCTGATGACCACTGCTTGTTTCTCCCACACAACCACCATTGTCAGCCTCATCTCATATTCTCAATGCATGAGGTTGAGTGCGCTATGCTTTTTGTGTATATATCAGGAATCTACTAACTTGGATAGTTTGATTTACGCATTGGTACCAAGCTAGATATATTCTAACCATGGCGTGTTCAAGCAAGAAGCAAAAATCACTTTCATTCAGAACAGGAAGATTACTTCTTTATCGAGGTAAAGGACAAATGTGTGTGTTTACTATGCTATGCAAGTGTATTAGTTCGTAAGAGAGTAGTGGATTCAAAAACCACTTCCAAAATTTCAATTGTTTGTTAAATTGCCTTTTATAGAGATTAATGCTGAAGAGTTCTCTACTTTTGAGCATTTTGATTTTCAAGAAGATGGTGCTGCAGTAGAGGGGGAACTGATTGATTTTCAAGATGATATGTCTGTAAAATCCCTTTCTTCAAGCTCTGAAAATGTTTGGCTCTTGTTCCTAAAGAAAAATACCCAATTTTGGTTCAGGTTTGTCTCAAAGTGAAGGCAATATTAAGCTCTATATCTGTGTGAGATTTCTCAGGTAAAGGACAAATGTGTGTGTTTACTATGCTATACAAGTGTATTAGTTCGTAAGAGAGTAGTGGATTCAAAAACTACTTCCAAAATTTCAGTTGTTTGTTAAATTGCCTTTTATAGAGATTAATGCTGAAGAGTTCTCTACTTTTGAGCATTTTGATTTTCAAGAAGATGGTGCTGCAGTAGAGGGGGAACTGATTGATTTTCAAGATGATATGTCTGTAAAATCCCTTTCTTCAAGCTCTGAAAATGTTTGGCTCTTGTTCCTAAAGAAAAATACCCAATTTTGGTTCAGGTTTGTCTCAAAGTGAAGGCAATATTAAGCTCTATATCTGTGTGAGATTTCTCTTTTCAGTATGAAATTTATTAAAGATAAGAAACAGACTCGCTGATCAACACTTGGACAACTGTATTCAAATGGCAGCCACTATGTACTCTCCCAATTCTTAAAACTTGTTGATGACAAAAAGGAGTTCATCCTTCTGATTAAAGTTAATAAGTCCGATTAAAAAAAAACTGTCATTACATTTGTTATTTATTTACAACTACATTTCAACTTTTCTTTCTTAGTATAAATCAATTTCAGTTACTTTTTGTTGTATACAGTTTAATTAAAATTTATTTCATATGTACTAGAAATGCAAGTTTATAGGCAATAAACAAATGTAAGGTTTAAAAAAAAATGGTGGCTGTTTTGGTTGATATCTCATAGTGGGATTTAAAATTGGAACAGTAACTCAGAAGCTTCATAAGTTTGGTGACCACTGTTCTACTATATGGATATAATATTTTAATTATCTAATTAGATAATCTTTACTCATTTTCAGATTCTTTTGTAAATCATATCAATCTTTTTTTATATATATCAGCACTTAATTGTTCATTATAGATAAATTAAAAACGAACTCATTTTGTCTTGTTTGTTTCCTTCCTCTGTAATTTAATCTCCTCCTTTTAGTATGTGTCTGTTAAGGAATAATTTTACAGGGTTCGTACGGTCCTGAAAAGTCCTTAATTTTTTCAAAAATGATTTTTGGTCCTTAAAAGTCCTTAATTTTGGCCAAAATGAATATATGGTCCTTAATTTTGCTCATTTGACATTTCTTATCATTTCTAATGATTGTCATTCTACGTATGAATTGCGATTTATCATGAATATGGAATTAAAATTGCACTGCTCTTAACCAATCTGTTGGCGGATTTGCGTTGCAAACGATGAAAAAAAAAATTAGCTACCCGAACGAAAGTATCGGTGTCTGATTGGCTATTCACCCAATCTTTCGAAACAGGTGTTATCTATAAATTTAGGCAGATTGTGACGAAAGCGTGAAGCCGGAAGTTCTTTAAGAGGCGAAACATGGACCTTATAAGAAATAGACTAATCCAATTGCGTTTTCTCCCTTGTCTGGCGCGTTCCCGGCGATCACATCCGGAGGAGTAGGGACGACTTCCAGAAATTAGCAATAGTTGGCTATTGCAGCACGTACAATTGTCACAAATAAGCTGGTGGTAGTGCCTCATTTCACAAGTAAGAATTTTTAAATATTTTTATTTTTGACACTGAGATTGCTTTTTAAATACTTAGCATTTTTTTCAAGCATAATTAACGTTCTAAATGATTATAAAGCTGTTGCATGCTTTCAGGCTTGTATAGATTTTTAGCTTTTCCTATGATGTAAGTTAATTTGTAACTTCTTCTTTTAGAAAATAATATTTTAAATATGAACTAACAGAAAAATTCAACCAAGTAATTTTCTCTTACAATTACTAAAACTATAACTAATACTAAACTATAGCTAAAATACTAAAATGCCTAAAAATGAATTTTTGAAAGTTTTTCTTTAAAATTTATAATTTTTTGCTGCTTTTTTAAATTATAGGTAAATTTTAATTTCTAGCATTATAACTAATCAAAAATAAGAATAGTTAAGAACCAAAAGTATACATCTTATATAGCTGGTTTTGTTGTTAAAAGCTTAGCTTATAAAGTAAAATGTAATATCTGTTTCTCAGCTTTAGTTTCAACAGAACCATATCATGGTTTGCTAGGTTTCAAATATTGTAGATCTGAATGTAAAGGTTTGACTTCTCCTTCCAGTGACGTCCAAATGATCTGCAAAAATGCAGAAATAATTTTTAGGCAGAC